GGGGAAGAAGAACAAACTGGGGAGGAGGGTAGAGAGAATGGTGCAGCAATGAAGGAATGAAAACCCAAAATCCCTGTAAATGTTTATTAAAACTAGTAAAATTTAAAAAAAAAAAACTACAACCCCATTCTCTTCAGCAGATACCATCTACTTCAGTCTAGAAAGTAAAGGAGGTAACATTACAAGTTATTATTACAGAATAGTTAGTACTTTTTAATAGAAGTCTTTCAATGAAAAAGAGTGGTCTAAAGATAGATGCTCCGCAATAATGCCATGTTACATATTTTATCTTTTCTTACCTAAAATCTAATCTCTAACTATGATAAAGCTATGCATAAACAGATGGGCAATATTTAGCAAAGGAAATGTTCCCATTAAGCTTTTCTGTCTATGATCATCATGATACAGGGTAAGTGACTGTTTTCCCTCAAAACAGTCCTCCCCTGCTGATCATAATTCTTTGGATAAACAATTTCTGTGTGTTCTGTTCAAAGGCAAAATTTTCCACATCACCATTCAATCATGAATTTCCATTTCAACCTTCCTCAATTAGATAGATAAAAGAACTTTTTTAGCAGTAAGTCAGAAATACAAGCATCAAAAGGTCTTAAATCTACATGCAAATATATTCTAAATTGATCTTCCAGTAAGTGCATCATTTAACAAATATTTATCAAGTAACTGCTCTGTATTCAAACACTGAGCTAGACACACAATAGGTGTTTGCAACCCCTTCAAAGCAAAGAGATAATTGGAAAATAACAGATTCAAACTCATTACCTAGAATTGAAAATCATACACATATGCTCACATTGTAGTACTATAAAGCAGCAAATGAGCAGTAGAAGATAATTTTAAAGGTAATGTCAAGTTAAAATAGCTCAAAGAAGTAAACAAGGTGATAAATTACAAGGAGGAAAAATGGGAATAAGAAGAAACATAAAAACCCTTAGAGAAAGAAAAAAACAACCCTTAGAGAATCTGTTAAACTTTTTGCTAATTCTGCTCAATCGTAAAGTAAATCAGGCCAGATATTAAGCATTCAGATGTTCTTGTTGTGTGCTGTTAAGCTGGAACCAGCCCATAGCTGAACTTTCAGCAGATTTTTAGAAGCAATAAATCACTGTGGGAGAATGTCCATGCTCTTCCCACAGAGCAGCTGCTGGATTTGAGTCATATGCCTTTGGGATTGCAGTGTGGCTTCTTACCACTAGGCCACCAGAGCTCCCTCAAAAGTATCTCCATGTAAAGGATCTATCTAGAATATATCACATTGTCAGTCCTCAGTAAGCATAAGGGACTGGTCCCAGGTCCTTGCAGACACTAACATTTGAGGC